TCTTGACTTTTCTGCAATAATTCTACTCAAAACCTGAAAAAAGGCAGGCTACTGCAGGGTAAGACACTTTTCATAGTTCTTCCATCCTTAAACTTACATTTTTCTGCCAGCTTAAATGGAAGGGTCACCGAGGCAAAGAGACAGACACTGATCAAAAGCCATGAGACCTATCTCATAATTTACTTCAGCTAAGGTGAATATGACGAATACGTCAGTTGGGTGAGATGAAAGCACTTGCAAGTTCAAAATTTGGAGCACTGCACTTCTGAACCCTGTTTTCTCCCTCATCTTCTGGCTGCAGTTTTGACTAGGCTATTACAGTTATGATGGCAGGCATGCTCGTGGTATCAACATTATACAATGACTTAGTTAAGTCTGCAAATGCCACACTATGGTATGGAGCTCTTTAAATCTCATCTCCCCAATTGTTTCACCCACAATCAGCCAACTGGGGACATTGAGAAAACGTACTCATGGATACAATAGCTGAAGTCTCTATTTACAACAGTGAATGTCTTAAATAGCTAAACTCAGATGACATAAAATGGATTGTGTAGCACTAAAATATATCCACCTGACAAATGGCATGGTTGATTTAAATATTACTTGTATATCCAACAAGTTCGGCTATGAGTTTTAATTTCTTGGAGCGCAACATCTGTTATATTATACTTCCATTGTGGTAATATAATTGCTTCTCCCATTTAATTGCACATCCAGCTTCCTTTCTTTCTCGTAGTTTTGACTTTAATAACTTACTTTGAGCTCCTGTTCTGCAGCAATTTGATTCTTAAAGTAGCTGCACAAAACCAAACAATGAAGTACAGTATATTGCACAAAATTCAAAACTTATGTATTTCAAAGTGATGAGCAAGTTCTTTATTGTTTTTCTTTTGAAACATGACATATAAGTATTGCTTTTAGGAAAACGTATCACAAAGTTAAGATAAGCACACAGTGGTTAAATATATCAGAGTAGCTTCTGAAGAGGAACATTGCCATGGTCTTGGGCTGACAAATGGCATGGAACATTTGTGCCAAACAAATGCCAGGCTATGACCATCGCCAATAAGAGACAATCTAACCATCGGCCCTTAGCATTCAACCGTGTTATCATCACTGAAACCCCCACTGTCAACATCCTGGTGGTTATCATTGGCCAGAAACTCAAGTGTAGTCACCACATAAGAACAGTGGTTACAAGAACAGGTCAGAGGGTAGGAAAACTGCAATGACTAACACACCTCCTGACCCCCCCAAAGCCTGTCCATCATCTACATGGCTCAAATCAGGATTGTGATGGAATACTGCCCACTTGCCTGGAAGAGTGCCGCCCCAACAACATTCAAGAAGTTTGACACCATCTAGGACAAAGCAGCCCACTTGATTTACATTACATCCACAAGAATCCATTCCCTCCACCACTGACGCTCAGTAGTAGCAGTATGTATTATCTACAGGATGCACTGCAGCAATTCACCAAAGATCCTCAGACTACACCTTGCAAACCCATGACCACTTTCATCTGCAAGGGTGGCAGATACATGGGAACACCATCACTTGCAAGTTCCTCTCCAAGCCACTCACTATCCTGACTTGGAAATATATCGCTGTTCCTTCACTGTCGCTGGGTCAAAATCCTGGAATTCCCTCCCTAATGGTACTGTGGCTCAACATACAGCAGGTGGACTGCAGCGGTTCAAGAAGGCAGTTCACCACCACCTTCTCAAGGGGAACTAGGGATGGACAATAAAAATGCTGGCCAGGCAGCGACCCCTACATCCCACAAATGACTAAATTTAAAAAAAGAATATTTTAATAGATCTGGATCTTATAAATTATGTGCATCCGCAAGGTCACAGAAACAACATTTTGTTACATGTACGCACAAGTCATTAAGTGGCAGGACAGGTCAAGACTATGATTAATTAAGCCTACAGTATCCTAGACTGTGTTAATAGAGCCATAGAGTTTGACAGCAAGGAGGTTATATTGAACTTGTTCAGCCTCAGTTGGGGTAATGCATCCAATTTTGGGCACCATTATTAACATTAAGAAAAGATTTGAGAAGTAAGGACTGTTTTCCTTGGAGATGAGAAAGTAGAGAGGAGATGTGATAGAGATATGGAAAAACCATCTGCACTAGGACAGAATTAGGCACAGATTTAAAGCACTCAGTAAAAGAAGCAAATGCAATAGCAGAGAAAATGTTTTCATGTAGCAAGTGGTTTGGATCTGGAACACACTGTCAGAGAATATGTTGGAGGCAACTTTAATTAAACATTTGAAAAAGATCTAAATTTTTACTTGAAAAAGAACAATATGCAGGATTATGGAAAAAAGCAGCAAAACAACACTAACTGCATGTTCATTTGGACAGCCAGTGCAGACAGGAGAGACAAATTGCTACCTTCTGCACTGTAATAACCCATTGATTGCGTACTATTCAAGTAAAAAAATACTCTAATACCTTTTTTGAAAGCTCACATATACACCACACTTCAATAGCAAAACTTGATCAAATATCACCTGAATGCCTCTGGTCTCCAAACACATACCACTACTGCCTTCTCTGATCTAGAATGGCAACATGTTTGCAACAGATTGCATTTCAAATCTTTGTCCTGATATTCCATTTTATTTTAATTGTTACCACTTATTGACACACTCCAACTCTTCGCATTGATGCTACATTCTCTTTATATTATTGTACCTCTTCTTTCTGCCCCATAAATCATCTTTAATATTTTCAAGGTGGAACTGTACAAATGCAAATTGATTGCACTCTCCACGCCTTTAAAAATACAAACAACTTTGGTATTAATATTCTACATAATTTAAAAGCCACCAAATGCATCAAAGGGTAGGCCCACAATCAGAAATTATACTTGACCACTTCAACATGGTTTTACTCAACCCCACCTCACAAAAATGTTTTGATGCTGTGTAGTATGTTATTTAATCACAATCATTGCCATGCATTGTCTTTGCCAGAAATAAAATTAAATGAAACAAATATTAAGTAATTCAGTAAGTCACACCAGTGGATTGGTCAACATTCTACAACGTTCTGAGGAAGGGTCACTGGACCCGAAACGTTAAGTCTGATTTTTTCCTTCACAGATGCTGCCAGACCTGCTGTGCTTTTCCAACAACTTTGTTTTTAATTCTACACTCAACCACTACTTTAGCCATTACTGTCATTTCAGTTTATGGAATCTTGTTATATTTTGAAAAAAGCTCTCATTGAACACATTGTTCTTTACAATAATTGCTTTGTACTGTTATCCTCTGGAGAAGTTGTTTAGAAATGCGCTGAGTTACAAACACCAACTTTAAATCTTTGATGCTTTCAGTTCTGAGGAAACTGCAAAAGGGAGTCCAAAACCAGACGGCGTAGGTTTAAGATGAGAGGGGAAAGATATAAAAGGGACTTACGGGACAGTTTTTTCATGCAAAGGGTGGTGCATGTATGGAATGAGGTGCCAGAGCAAGTGGTGGAGGCTGGTACAATTACAACATTTCAAAGGCATCCAGATGGGTACATGAATATGAAAGGTTTAGAGCGATATGGGCCAAATGCTGGCAAATGGGACTAGATCAGTTTAGACTATCTCGCTGGCCTGAATGAGTTGAACCGAAGGATCTGTTCCTGTGCTGTATGACTCTGAGTCAAAGTAAACACTAATCTAGATCAATGATATTATTGAATCAGGCAATCTGAGTTACACAAGGGAAAAAGTGGTGTCGTATTGCTGTTGAATCTTCAACATTTCAAAGCAGCTTTCTATCAAAAAAATTATTTGCACATAAGTGACTCCTGGGAAGAACAAATGTGATTAACTGTGTTATTGTCATTTAGATTTGTGAACTGGGTAGCTGCAAATAAAGGTGAAACCTTAAAAAGAACAAGAAACAGGCACAGAGATAGTAGGAACTGCAGATGCTGCAGAATCTGAGATAACAACGTGTAGAGCTGGATGAACACAGCAGGCCAAGCAGCATCAGAGGAGCAGGAAGGCTGACGTTTCGGGCCTAGACCCTTCTTCAGAAATTTCTGAAGAAGGGTCCCCCGCGAAACGTCAGCCTTCCTGCTCCTCTGATGCTGCTTGGCCTGCTGTGTTCATCCAGCTCTACACGTTGTTATCTCAGAAACAGGCATAGCATGCTTTAACTACCTTCACTTGGTAAGCCAACCGTATCTGCATATTCATTCAAGTGTGCAAAGCATTTGCAATCAATTGATAATTTACCCGAAATAGAATTTGGTGAATAAAGAACTGCTAGAAAAAAAAAGATATTTATGGGATGAAGAGGGAAGGCAGTCATTTGGAAATTTAAGTTTATGTAATGGACGTGTGGGTTTTAGGCAAATGTTTAATAAGCGTTTTTGAAAAGATATTACTAACATTGAGGTCATAAATATAGCTTATATTTCAGTTCAGTTGAAAGACTTATTTTTGCTTTTAATACCTGCTCAAAAGGGCTTTGTTCAATGAAGTGATTGGAGGTTGTTGGGTACAAAAGCCCGGGCGCAAAGCGCATTGTTCTATCAAATGCATCGTCCCCATTCCACCATCCACCTTTTTCCCTCACTGGGCTGAAGCCGCCGGGACACTAAAACCCCATCCACCGGGGACCTCCACCCTCCTCTTCTGTTTCCATCTTACAACCGTCGCTCTTATTTAAAAGGGCCTACGCCACCGGTTTACATCCCCGATCTCGAATTAGGATTTCCCTTTCCCTACCACTAGAAAGCCCACTAGTCTCCATCGCATTTTCTTCACAATAGGCATAATAAAACTCCCGGCCTTCCGTCCCTCACTCCATCTCTTGGCCTTTCTAACCAGCAGTGCTCGGCCTGGGGGTGACCAATCTCTCCAAAGCCGAGGCCTAACTTCCAGAAGCACAGGCCCCCGTGCCGCATGGCCTGGGCCTGTTTCCCAGTTCACGTCGAGTTCTTATATATTATTTTTCTTATTCGACAAGTTCACACTCACTCTGTCTGAGCCCCGTACTCGGTACGGGGTGAGAGTGCCGGCAGCGCTGATGTCTTTCCGGGACTCGAGCTGAGGTAGGGGAGAAGCCCAGGCCGAGCGCAGAGGCGGAAAAAAAAATCCGTTAAAATCAAACAAAGTCAACCCCGCGCGCCGCCAGCAAGCGAAGCACCACCCCCTCCTACTCCATTGGACAATCTGTTTATCCATCACGCCCGCGCCGCCCCGATTTCTCCAAGTCCATTGGTTATGACGAACGTCAGTTATAGCGCCCGCCGTCACTGGCAATTCCTATTGGCCCAAAGGGTAGAGGCGTGCGGCGAACCTTGTTGTGGCGTTTCCTTCTAGTCGGGAAAGAGGCGATTCACGAAAACCTGGATCATTTGTCAATCAAATTGTTTAAACCCGCTATTTGGAAGTTAGGAGTGTTGCGGTTCAATCTTACTGAAGTAAGTATTAATATGGCCATGTGTTGACAACCAGATAGAAATATCACTGAAATTGCCTCAACTTTCTTCGCCATGTTGTAGAATTTTTTTTTAATGAATGTAAGCCAACGCAGTTCTGAAAAAAGAGTCAGCCTTACCGGACTTCAAATGTTAACTCTACTTCTATCGCCAGAAGTTCACGGTTGCTGAGTTTCTCCGCCATTCTCTTTCACCTCTTTTAGTAAATTGAAATTAGGCGTGAGTTTTTAAATGTTTTACTATGCTCTGCAGGTAGCCTGCGCGCTTAGCCTGCGATTGCTATTCATTCAAAGTTGTTATTCATTTATTTTTAATGTTTGGAAGTGCTATCTGAGAGATAATAATCCCTAACATCCATCTCTAATCTGTAAACCAATGATTTCTTGACACGTTTCAAAGTTGATAAGTATAAAGCTTTCTGAACTGCACGTTCGATTTGGGCAATTATCTATGTTCCTTCCAGAAGCTCGTTGTAGATAACTGATGCCAACCTGAGCGTTTTGTTTTAATTTCAGATTTTGGGCGACCCAAGTGTTTTAAGACCACTCATACATATATTTGTATTTTGAGTTTAGCTTTTGAGAAGAGTTCTCCAAGGGTTTCTCGTACTTCATTTACTTTATTAAAACTTTGTATCTGTAGCTTCTTATTAATTTATAAATTCCTAACTGTATTTAGTGATAATTGTCGATGTAAACCCGTAACGCATGTGCATTTCTCTTTCGGCGAGGTCACCATTTTGGTGGGACGCTGTTAAGAGTACCCGTTGGTATCGAAAATACAACCACAAGAATTCATGGTGATTTAACGAAAAGCCGATACATTCTTGAAAATAGTGGCAGACTGGGTGTAAAGTCGCATAGTAGTAAGACTGTGTAACTACAGCATAATAAGCGCATACATTGATTGAACAAAAACAAAGTTTAACGTTTCGGGTCCGGTGTTCTGAGAAAGGGTCTCCAGACCCGAAATGTTAACTCTGATTGTTTCTTCACAGATGCTGCCAGACCTGCTGAGCTTTTCCAGCAGCTTCTGGTTTTGTTCCTGACTTACAGCATCGGTAGTTCTTTCGGTTTTTATATGCTGATCTCATTATCAGCCTGGATGTAGTAATATATAATGGGTTTGGTGAAAACAAAAGAGTAGTTTTGTCTGGCAACAGTTGTGCAGATCATTTCAATAGTGCATTGTATTGAATGTTGCTTAGATGATCCTTGGTAGAGAGGTATGTTTTTTTTAATATAGCTTTAAAAATGCTGAGAGGCTGTACATCTCAGAAGCAAAGATTCAGGCAAGTTGTATTTAAATTCAATCTGTAGCTAAAGTTGGAGCTCAGGATTTCACTAGAAGTGATACATAGTTTTTCTAATATATGCATATGACATCACTGCTTTTGTATGTTACATTAAGGATGGAAATCTGGAAGAAACAATTCCAATTTATTTATTGACTTTACTATATTACAATGGTAACCACTCTCCAAACAGCAATTTAATTTGTAGAACATTAAGTTTGTGAACAGTACTACATAATATGCACGCTTTAATTCTCTTTCACTACTTCAGAATGCCTTATAATTAACTATGTACTTTTTGAAATTTAGAACTGTTGTAATGTAGAACAAATACTTAGTGAGAAGATGGGCAGCGAATTGAAGGTTTCCTATCCTGTATTCTCCCCATATACATTATGTTGTGGGTGTGCCATTTGTGAATCCTTAATTTACATTTGTACATAATGTGGAAGTGTTTGGAATCATTACTATAATATAACTTTTCAGGATGATTCTCCATTGCAGCTGGTTCAATGTAGAACAAGCGGCATCCCATTTGAATGTAAAAGTCCTGAAGCCACCTCCATGTTACTAATGGAAACAGTAAAAGATGCTGCCTATTGCACCACATCTTCAACCTTGGAGATGGAATGCAGCTTGGATACATTTGGTCAAGGCCAGGTGAATCTGTCCATTGCAGGGTAAACTTTCTGTTTGTGTCAGATGGATGGCCAGATCCACTGACATCAAGTTGGTGTTCTTTTCTGACCATTACATCCTACTGGCTGACTATCATCTACAGAAAGACCAAAGAGGTGGTAAAGGGAAATGGAAACTGTGAACATGAGTCTGATGACTCCAAAAATTGAGAAACTTTAAAGGGATTTGGAGTATGGTGGAAAGCAATCAATGTGACCATCTCATTTTCGAAGGTGTTCAAAAGTCCAGAGAGGAACAGGGAAATTCCAGGAAAGCATGCAGAAAATACTCCAGCTGCAGCCAATCGGGGTCAGTATTATGGAGGATCTCCAAAAACGTCAGCAAGCCTTGCACTTTACCTCCGAGACCTCTAAAATAATCTGGCCCAGAGGCTGCTGAATGAGAAAATAAACAATATAGGCAAAAGGAAGGATTGATATGAGGGGAAAATAAACAGTATAGGTTTTCTGTAATTGCACTTTACATACCAACAGTTAGAAGATGTACCAACTGCTAGAAGACAAGAACATGTAACAAGATGGGATAATATCATGTATTAGTTTGAATCTGATTGGATAATATAGTCATGTGTACTAACTTGGAATGTAAATCATGTAAACAATTGGATAGAGATATGAGTGAAAAAATATGTAATCTTTTGATTCAAATCTTTCTAACAATAAAAATAGTATAGAAACTTTATTGCAAAAGCAACAATTTGAGCTGTATGCCAGTTCTGGATATGTATATCTCCCATGGAAGAATAAACGTTTAAACAAAGCAACTGAGTCTCTTCTGGGCTAAGAGGAGATAAAGGGTTAAATGCACACTTTCATTGCTCTGTGGAAAAGAATGAGACATACTCGTGAATCTTCTTTGAGGATACTGTATATAGGGGGAGCTCTGTGATCAGCAGCCTGAAGGAAGAAGACTTGGTAAAGTTATTATAGTTTGCCATTTTGAGGAAACCCTTTTGTGCTAATCTTTATGATGTGAAGCTCACGGACAAGTCTTGGTATGCAGGAGAGGTTGGACAATCTGTCAACTGATTAAAGCACTAAAGCCCTTTTTAATGCAGAGTAAAACTCCTGGAAGTGTTGGCTGACTGTCCAACCTGTATTTGTCTCTGAGGCATTCTGGAATTGTACGATTGGTATACTCCTGCCTGACAACATGTTGAATCCATGAGGAAAGGTGTCATCACTTCCTCTACAAGTGGGATGGGGAGAGGAGAAAATTAGGAATTGATGACATCTCTCAGCTCCATATGGACCACGAAGTTCTTGCCCGAAATGTCCTCAATGGTAGAATAGCCAATGAAAGGCTGAGTGTTTCACCAGCTACGAAGGTGGAAGAAGGTTGCTTTAGTAAGTTGAGACCAGGGATGTTATGTTTGAGTTAGACAAAACTTTGGTTAGGCCATAGCTGGAGTATAGTGTGCTGTTTTGGCCATCACACTATAGGAAGGATGTGATTTCACTGGAAGGGATGCAGAGAGGATTGACCAGGATGTTGGGTGGGACGGAATATTTCAGCTATGAAGAGAGGCTGGATAAGCTCAGGTTTTTTCCTTTGGAGCAGAGAAGGTTGAGGGGTGCCTGATGGTGGACAAGGTGAGTAGAGAGCAGCTATTCTTTTAGTTGAAGGGTTAAGAATGAGAGAGCACACTTTTATGGTGGTAGAATAGAATAGAAACCCTACAGTGTGGAAACAGGCCATTTCAGCTCAACAAGTCCACACCGTCTCTCTGAAGAGTATCCCACCCAGACCCATTCCCCTAATTTCCTGTATCTAACCCGCCTAACTTAAATATCCCTGGGCGCTATGGGAAATTTCGCATTAGTTAGGAGGTTTAGAGGAGATTTAAGGAAAATCTTTGTCAGCCAGAGTTTAGGGTGGTGGGGGGAGAGGGAAGGTGGGGTGGGGGAGAGAGGGAAGGGGATGGCTGAAGTGGGAAACCTCACAACCTTTAAAAAATCTGTTACAACGTTTCAAGTGTTCATCCACATTCGAGATTATGGGCCTCGTGTGGGAAAGTGGGTCAAGTGAAGGTGTAGTATATTTTTGGTGGTATACCAACTCAATTGCTTGAAGGACCTCTTTATTGTATGATTCATGCACCTGTCACTTTTGCCAATTCTTGTACATAGTCTCCTGGATTCACTGCCCTGACCCATTGTAATTTTCCATTGTTGCAGGACTTAGAAAATTGACCCTGGTGGAAGTCTTTTTATGACTTTTCTTAACAATAGTACTTTAGGGCACTGTCATTACCCTTGTGATCTTAATGGGTTGATGGTCAGATTTTGGTGACCTGTTGAACTGTGATGACCAAGGTCAACTTACTAATACAAACTTCTTTCATTATTGCAATTAGTGAGAGACACAGCCTTCCTTTGGCTGTTCTACTGTTGAGGACATTTTGGGCTGCACTTCCTCTGGCACCCCAATCTGGCTCCTTCTGGGAGCACAGAGCCCAATGGCATCAATCATCAAATGGCCACATTTTGAAACAATTTTACACCCCAATGAACAGTGTGATTTTGTTTTTGAGGTCTTAAGGTAGGGATGCAAATTGATATTTTTACATGGGCTTCCCCAAGGTATTGAATAAGTCTCCACAAAAGAGACTTCTCAAAAATGAAAGTCGATTGGTTTGTATTAGAAATTGGATATGGTGAGTAAGGATACTAATAATATTTTGAAGTTGGTTAGATGTAATTAGTGGTGTTTGACTGGAATCTTTACAGGAATGTCAGTTCTTCATTGTTCATAAATGATTTTAAGGAATAAAGAACTGTTCATCTGAATTATCTGATGGTCCAATAACTAACTGCAAAGAATGGTTGATTGAACTGCCTACTCACCTCATCTATCAACTACTGATGTTTGAAAAAAAAACTGAGAGAACATCTTAGTTGGACCTAAGAAAGATGGATGGCTATTTTCTCATTGTTCAGAAGAGGAAAGTGTGGATGAGGAGAAAGAGATTTATGGATGTAGGGATTGT